GAAGGGAGCATAATATATGCAATATTTAAGCATAATTGTGACACAAAACAGCAATTCACAAAACATGTATTCTCGTGCAGAAGTATTATTGTCGTGGACTAGGCAATACAGTTTGGATGAAGTGATACAAAATTCTCGTGTAGAGACCGTAATATGTTTGAGATTTAAGCATAATTCTCACACCAAACGGCATAATTGTCATGCAAAAGCATTATTCTCGTCGTCTAGGCAAAAAAGTTTGTATGGAGTGATACAAAACTCTCGTGTAGAGACCGTAATATTTTTGAGATTTAGGCATACTTCTCAAACAAAACAGTATAATTCTCCTTCAAAAGCATTATGCTCGTCGACTAGGCAATAAAGTTTGTATGAAGTGACACAAAATTCTGCTGCAGAGACCATAATGACAAGTATGGTTATATCTAATATATATTCGGCTCCGTTCACCGGAATTTTGTATCACTTCATAGAAAGTTTTTGGTGCCTAGTCCACGAAAATAATGCTTTTGCACGAGAATTATGCTGTTTTCTGTGAGAATTATGTCGAAGTCTCCAACATATTATGGTCTCTACGCGGGAATCTCGTATCACTTCATAGAAACCTTTTGCCTAATCCACGAGAATAGTGCTTTTAAAATTATGCTGTTTTGTGCTAGAAGTATGGTTAAATCTAATATATATTATGCTCGCTTTAGTATGTATGTGGTGATACAAAATTCTCAGAGAAAACAGCATAATTCTCGTGTAAAAGGATTATTCTCGTGTACTAGGCAATAAAGCTTCTATGAAGTGATACAAAATTCTGGTGTAGAGACCATAGTATGTTTGACATGTAGGCATGATTCTCACACCAAACAGCATGATTCTCGTGTAAAAGCATTATTCTCCTGGAATAGGCAAAACAGTTTCTATGAAGTGACACAAAATGCCGGTGCGGACACCGTAATGGGAACTATGGTTAAATCTAATATATATTATGCTCCCTTCACCAGAATTTTATACTTCAGAGAAAGTCTTTCAGCAGTAGAATTCTCCTGCAAAAGCCTTATTCTTGTGGACCAGGCAATAAAGTTTGTATGCGGTGACACGAAATTGTCCTGTAGAAACCATAATATGTTTTAGATTAACGCATAATTCTCACACAAAACCCTATAATTCTCGTGCAAAAGCATTATTCCCATGGACTAGGCAATAAAGTTTGTTTGAACTGATACAAAATTCTCGTGTAGAGACCGTAATATGTTTGAGAGTTAGGCATAATTCTCGCACAAAACAGGATAATTCTCATGCAAAAGCATTATTCTTGTGGACTAGGCAATAAAGTTTCTGTGAAGAGACACGAAATTCTCGTGTAGAGACCGTAAGGTGTTTGACATTTAGGCATAATTCTAACACAAAGCAGCATAATTCTCGTGGAACAGCAACGTTTTCTTGCCTAGTCAAGGAGAATAATGCTTTTACACGAGAATTATGCCGTTTTCTGTGAGAATTATGCCTAAATCTCAAACATATTGTGATCTCCGCACGAGAACTTTGTATCACTACCCAGAAACCTTTTCATCCCTGGTCTAGGAGATTAATGCTTTTACACGAGAATTATGCTGTTTCGTGTGAGAAGTATGGTTAAATGTAGTATATATTATGCTCCCTTCACCAGAATTTTGTATCACTGCATAGAAACTTTATTGCCGAGTCCACGAGAATAATGCTTTTGCAAGAGAATTATGCTGTTTTGTGTGAGAATTATGCCTAAATCTCAAACATATTATGGTCTCTACACGAGAATTTTGTATATGTTTGAGGGTTAGGCATGAGTCTCACAGAAAACAGCATAAGTCGCGTTCAAAAGCATTATTCTTGTGGACTAGGCAAGAAAAACTTTATATGAAGTGATACAAAATTCTGGTGAAGGCCGCATGATATATATCAGATTTAAGCATACTTCTTACACGAAACAGCATAATTCTCGTGTAAAAGCATTATTCTCGTGGACGGGGCAATAAAGTTTGTATGAAGTGATACAATATTCTCGTGTTGAGACCATAATGTGTTTGAGATTTAGGCATACTTCTCGCACAAAACAGCATAATTCTCGTGAAAAAGCATTATTCTCCTGTACTCGGCAATAAAGTTTGTATGAAGTGACACTTAATTCTCGAGTAGAGACCATAATATGTTCGAGATTTAGGCATAATTCTTACAGAAAACAACATAATTCTCGTGCAATAGCATTATTCTTGTGGACTAGGCAAAACAGTGTCTATGAAGTGACACAAAATTCTCGTGCAGAGACCATAATGAGAGGTATGGTGAAATCTAAGATATATTATCCTCTCTTCAGCAGAATTTCGTATCACTTCATTGAAACTTTATTGCCTAGTCCAGGAGAATAATGCTTTTACATGAGAGTTAGGCTGTATCGTGTGAGAAGTATGGTGAAATCTAATATATATTACGCTCCCTTCACCAGAATTTTGGATCACTGCATAGAAACTTTTTCTTGGCTAGTCCAGGAGAATAATGCTTTTGCAAGAGAATTATGCTGTTTTGTGTGAGAATTATGCCTAAATGTCAAAAATATCATGGTCTCTACACGATAAGTTTGTTTCACTTCATACAAACTTTATTGCTTAGTCAAGGAAAATAATGCTTTTGCACGAGAATGATGCTCTTTTGTGTGAGAATTATGCCTAAATCTCAAACATATTATGGTCTCTATACACTACCCATATTGCTATATGTTGAGGCGAGTGAAGAGTGATCGGGTGGAAATAGCTTTTAATTGTATTTTCAGTGTGTAACAGTCAGCAATAGCAATATCACCCACTGCCAGCTCACTTAATAATCGTTTGTAATACCTTTCAGCCTTGTCGAATTTACCCATATTACAGAACAAATTTCCAAGTGAAATGTGAGTAGTTTCACTCCCGATCTCTTTCTTAATGTGGCCAAATAGTTCTTTCAAATCGTGATCATCTTCGTTGCATAAATCGAAATGAGCCATCTAGATTTGCTGTTCTTTGTCGTAGTGGACACTTCGAAGTCGAAAGATCGAACCGAGCATAAGAAGGATTTCTTCCTCACGAGAGAAATAACTCAATCGGGAAATATCGGCGAACGGTTTTGCTTTTATTCGACTCTCGACGTTAATTGTGAAGAGGACACATTCAAGATTTTCACACTGAGCACTTTGAGCAAATTGAAGTGTCTTCTTCTGATTACGACTTGTGGATAGAAAGGAGTTTATCGAGATGAATTCACCAATACTTGAACGCATGCGAGCAAGTTCATCTTTTGATATCACTTGACATCGGTATAATCGACTGATATTTGTGTCGGACGATTCTTTTATGAGCTGGTTGTGAATATCGGTGATTAGAAATCGAAGCGCGAAGAGAATGTCGATGTTCTGAACGCGAAGCGCTTTGTTTAGCAACTTGTAGAGAAAACACTCTCTAGTTTACCATCGTAGAGCATCAGACGAGTTGTATGTTGGAAGTCATCGAGATACGACGTAATCAATTTGAGCTCCTCGCCAATCATCCATCATCAATGTCTGACGAAGTTTTACTTGGAACGACATTGTGTTCTTCTCACAATTTATGAGATATCTATTTACCACTTTCATTCTCAAGTGCAGTAAACAGTTTCACAAATGTCAATGATTTGCTCTGAGATACTTTCCAGTGCGCTGTACCTTTATTTTAAACTTTGTTTATTAGATAACAAATCGAGATCGAACTTTGAAGAAATTCACGAATAATGTCAAGCTCTGCATCATTACCTCGATAGTATTCGTTGCAGATTTGAACAAGTTCATCTTTTGATGTTGGAGAATGTTTCATTCGAAGTAGAACTTCAGTAAACAGCTGAAACCACATGAATGAGCTGTTGTCTGATTTGAGATTTGTGTGTTCTATCGTAGATGCTGATTGAGATCAAATCTTCTGTTTTCTCTCGTTTCGCCTGATCTGTGCATATTGTCTCGACGAGCTCCTTTAGGTCAACAATTATGGCTCTGATCTAGAAAGGCGACAGAAAATGAACGTGCCGAATGTGAGGTGTGCAGAATTGTGATGCAGTTGGAAGAGTACACGGAGTTCCATGACTTGTTTCGCGTTTGTTTGCTGTAAAACTGTGATAAGAAGATGGACGGCAGTGTACCATCTCCAGACTTCAAACGGATGTAGTTTCGGACGCATCCGTCGTTTAATCACGCCTTCGTTACTCGACGCGTCCACAATCAGATTGTAGAGACTGAGTGAGAAAGAACATAGTCTACATTCAGATACTCCACGACATTCGGCTCAGTCCGTCACAGTCCAGTCACTCTCAGAATCGATCGAAGGACCCGTAGGGCGCGTAGTGTACTCATTTACGTTGACCAGAAATCTGCACTTTAGCATGGAATTTAAGGTTTTCCTCGTATGTGCTTTAAACACTTATCTGCTCATAATTCTTCTATAAAAATAGCTAGAAAGAGTTAGTAACAATAGGTCTACATAGTTATCTGAATGGAGAAACGCTTCGGAAACATACAGAAAAGAAAAAAGAAAAATTGTTTAGTCATCATTGTTAATTTGCATTATTCTTGACAATATGTCAACCGATAAATGTCTTTTCTTGTCTGTAAATCGCTAATAGGCTGTAGCCTTATGCCTACATTTATTAACGTGAATAATATTTGTACGACTAACTCAACTATATTCATTATTTTATTTAATAATATAGAAGCTTTCAACTCAGACTAGAGTCGTCATCAGCTACATATTTGATAGGAGAAAATAATGAATATAGCTGAGTTAGTCGTACAAATATTATTCACGTTTATCAACGTTTTTTCAACAAACAATATTAGTATATAAATTTATTAACGTTATTTAGTTTTACTTTAAAATATGATTGTTCAAAGATCCCGTTTAATTGTACCAAATATTCTTATACCAGAAAATAAATTAGTTGTTGTTGATAATAAAGTATCATTTCCTTCACCATCATCCTCATCTTAATTTAAACTGTTCCATTTTTTTGTTTTCATCTTCAACAGAATGGTTTTCGTTTGTATCTGTTTCGGATTCAAAATCAGAATCATATAATGGTGAATAATCATGAACATTACTTGTTTTATGTTCTTTGTAAACTACTAAAGATAATTCTTTTAATTCACACACACTATTTCTTTTTAATAATCTGGTCCTTTTCAATTTATCAGTAAATGTTTTTGCTGTTTTGAATACATTAAGTATTGTTGTTTCAACATTATTTATCGTTAAGTTAGAAAAATTGTTATTATTTATCAAATTAAATGGTGTTTTTGAAAAAATGTTTATGATGAATAGTGAAATGAATAAAGTTATCATCAGATGTAATTTTACTTAAAACTGACAGTTTAACAGCATGATTTAAGAAATCAGTAACTGTAAAATTGACCATCGTTGAACACATATAGCACTCACTGCTCTTGAATTATGGAATGTCGTTTCATATCCTTGTGAACTAAACAAGTGTATAATCTGCTAGTTTATGGTCTATCACTAATAAAATAACAAACAATAAAAAATGACCATTTAATTTGATAGAATATTAAGCAGCTTTTGTTATAAAATATTCACACATTTTCGTTTTGACAACTTTTCTTTTATTAAATAAAATTTCAATCAAAACCACCAAACTCTGTAAACAAATATAACAGTCCATGCATAATACAATCGAGCCACAATATTTGTATTACTGTCAACATAGGCTTTGATTAGATAATTTAATAATTGTAAATAAACAAAGGCTGATTGAGCTTCTGGATCTTTTTCTAATCAATCCAATACATTTTGAGACGAAGTTTTAACACAAGAATTGAAATTTTGTCTGTTCTTAGCATACAAATCTGATTCAGCTAAACAATGTGGAATTATTATTAATTATTTGTTCTAAACATTTTCATTCGATTATTTGACCATCTATTCTCATTTCTGTTTGTTTTGTATAACAATCGATTACATAATTTAGTACAAAGATGTATTGGATCGCGGCGCCACCACTAAGATTTTGGTAAGGCGCCGCTAATTTAAAAGTTCAGTACATTGTTTCTTCTGGCCGAAACACACAGCATCGGATAGATCTAGTATTGCTGATCACGAATATGGCCTATAAAGTCTTACGGTAGAAAATGGCAAAATACGGGGATAAGTGCAAAACCCCTAAAATTCCCTGGCACTTTTTGCTAAGACTTTTTGCTAGACAACATTTCTAGATTCATTTTTCTATAAGGAATTCGAAAACACAACGATGAGGGCAAGAAGTGCGTGAGGAAAAGGTTAGAGGTGTTCTTTGAAAACGGAACAATTTTAGGGATTTTGCACTCATCCCCGTACTTTGCCATTTTCTACTCTAAGACTTTATCCAAATTAAAAAAAAGGTCATATTCGTGATCAGCACCATCAGGTCTATCCGATGATGTGTGTTTCAGCCAGAAAATACAATGTGCTGAACTTTTGAATTAGCGGCGCCTTATATTAAGTGTAAATGATTCGATTATTTGATATTTTCTAACATTCGGTGAATCAGCAGGAAGAATACTGACTAGTCTCATTGAACGCAGATACTTTCCATCACAATCTAACCAATCGCGGATAAACTCCAGCAGATTACCAAATAAACAACCCCAACACTCACAATAATACGCGTACCTGCTGGGAAGGCTAAAAAACCCTTTGTTAAACCTTGCTGATATAAATAAGGTCATTTATGGTAAATATCTGTTGCATCAAATTTATTATTAATACGATATGAAGATAGAACATAAGGTGATGAATTATTTAAATCTTTTGTTATTGGTTGAAATACATGTCAATGTAATAATGATGCTTTTCAGCGTTTCTGAACCAATTTTTTACCTCGTCGAACGAATTTGTTTGACAATAAGTAACAGATGGTATACCAGAAAGTAATGATGTAATAATGCCGACGAACGCATTAGATGTTTTGTCGTATTGTGCCTTTCGTACCACACTCGTGCAATCTTCTGACATAAATCCATGTTTTTTTACATCAGTTGTGTTTAAATATTCTTTTAATTCATCAAAACGAAATTTACCTTTAATTAGATTTTCATTTCAATTTTAATTAAATATTTTATTGCTATTAGAGATGGCAATCCACCACAGATATTCATTATGATAAAGCAAGCTGTAAACACTGTTATCAGCAACAACATACTAAGCTATAGAGAACGTCATCGCTTAGAATACGATTTTGGCGCAGTAAAGTTGTAATAACTCCTAGACGATTCATCGTAAAACCTTCATTCTATTTTTATTTTGAAGCTAAGACATTTATCTAAACTTTAATCGGCGGCGATTTTGGATTTTGTTTTCTGTGCACAGATAAGTGGCAAATACTCCGCCGAATTAGGGTTATTTTCAGAGGTCTGACTTAAAATACGTGTAGGGAATGAACAGAAGCGAAATTCAAAAATCGCCGCGGATCAAATTTTATATTCAGGTGTCTACTTTCATTTCAGGCCTCTTGCAGCTTTCTGCACCTTCCAACAAAACAGTTATAAAGCTTTTGCTAACAGCTCCATTTTGCCCCTTCTCACGCAATAACTCGGCAGCGCTTCAACGTTTCGATTTCAAATTCCTAGCGTAACCTCGTAGGACGATACAAAAACTTTTTGTGCCATTAGATACCCTACTAGTTGAAGTATATACGACGATCTTCAAATCAAGAAAAAGTAAGCTTCGCCTTTTTGACCAAATTTCCGCCTGAATGTCCACCCACTATGGCAGAGGACATTTTTTGCTTGACAGCGAAAGACGAAAAGCAGACACTATTGCACAGGCGTTTGTGAATATTTTTTGCTTCGAAAATATAACTTGCTTTTGAGTTTTGAGTAGCAAGCTAACTCGATTTTCTAAAGACTTATGGTTTCCATTGTATAACAACAAAGCGTTGGAAATAGAAACAGAAAATGCACAAGCATTGGAATTACGTACATTGTGTCTAATTTGAACGGATACAGTTTCATTTGATAAATAAATATCTCCATAATGATAAAAGATTTCTTAAAAGACCTTTGTCGATGGAGAAATCAGAAGAAAATAAACATATTTTGTACCAGATTCTTGGTATAGAAGCAATAATTTGCTCACCAAGTAGATGTGCTTCGAAAAAACATCTAATAAAAAATTTCGCATTAAAGGAGAAGGGACAGAAAATAATATGAACATGTACAACTCTGACAGTAGCTTTTGCAATCGTCGCGGGTTGAAACCGGTAACCGGTTTGAACCGGTTGGGCTGGTAACAGTAACCGGTAAAGTGCGGTTACCATTGCATCCCTAGTTCTATTAGTCTAAGAAGTTGAACACAACGAAAAGAAGGAAAATTATCCAGCACAAAACGATCTCTGTTGTTTTCGACGCAAAAATTGGACAGTACACATCTGCTCGCTTGGCTCACAAATTTCTGTCTGAGAAGCAAAGTAACAGTTTAAGAGATGAAAGAGAATATTTGCTTCTCTCTTCAAGTGTTTCGTGCTCAGAAAACAACTTTTTTCACCTTTCTATAAGCTTTTGCCCATCTTTCATTTGTTCTTTTGTTCATACAGTAGACATAAATGGCGCTTAACTGGGGTAAATCGTGAATTCTCGGAACAATCTCTCTACCTAATCGGCCAGAAACAATTAGAACAATCTTTTCATCTTTGCTCTGTCCAATATGTTCTTCACACTCATTTCCACTTTCAAACGTCAATAAACAGTTGATCGTTCCCCGCAATTGTTTCTGTGTTACTCGATTGTCTTTGCTTTCATTCACATGCTGATCGAGCCATAAGAGAGAAAATGTTTCTAGATTTTGACCTTGTTTTTGACTTTGCTGTTCAGTGTTTGTGTTTGCCCATTTTGTGGGTTGTGCATTGCTTGAGGCCATTGACGCTAGAAGAAAAAGCTCCGTGAATGTCACAGCAGATGTTGATGATGGTGGAAGCATCTATTCTTTCCTCCATTTCGATCTAATCAAGAAACAACGTTTGCTGTTGTGATGGTCATATGCTTGCCTCAAAACTTCTAGTTTTACTTGTATAGACTGGTATTTATTCACAACAATCACTGGCACTTACATCTTTATGAAGAAAAATTCTTCACGAGCACATGAGGTAAGAAGAACAATGTACTGTATTAGAATTTTTCCCCTCAACCTATCCCCTCAACTATTTGATGAATCATGAAAAAGCATTTAAAATCGAATTAAAAGCTCTTTCACCGGATGATCCTCATATCCCCTCAGCCTACATCAATATGGGTCTTGTACACGGGGACAAAGGTGAATACGATTTAAGTACCTTTGCCAAATCATGAAAACGCATTGAAAATCGAGTTAAAAGCTCTTCCACCCGATCACCCTTCACTCGGCTCAACATATATCAATATGGGTCTTGTACACGCGAACAAAGGTGAATATGATTTAGCTTTGATGAATCATGAATAACCATTGAAAATCGAATTAAAAGCTACTTGTTTAGACTGGTATTTATTCACAACAATCAGTGGCACTTACACTTTTATGAAGAGAGATTCTTCACGAGCACATGAAGTAAGAAGAAGAATGTGTTCTGTTAGAATTTTTCTATTGACATGCCTGAAGAGAAGGGAAATGCATTGCTTTTTCTAGAGAATGAATGTAACAGAGTCAACAAAGGATTGTTCTTATCTTGTCACTCGCACCATCATCAACGTATATGCGCACTTTTTCAATTTACAGAAATGAACAAAGTCGACCTTGCGTGGATTTGTAGATCAAGGTTCGGCTATTCGAACGTCCTACTCGGCATTTGAAAATACTAGTTTTTCATTATTTGTCCACGTACCCTTTCAAAGATCCGTGTGATACACCACCTGAACGGCTTGTCCACGTAACTTGAGACTTCGCTGATCAAGTTTTTTAAAAAATTATTTTAGAGTAGAACTGAAAGGAGGATATCACTAGATGCAGTTTTTGGTGCTGATTACGAATCTCACATTATCTTTTAAAACTGAATTTTCAATTTCCTTACCGAGACACTTTTCCTAGTAAAAATGGAAGGTCACACTAATCGAGAGAGAATTCGACTCTCTAGAAGATGGTATGTTTCTTTTGAAGTTTAGACTCAAAACAAGCTTTTTAATAAAGTTTTAAGTTTCAAGATTCTCACACAATTCTAAGAAAGTGAAAACATTTTTTCAGCTTTATTTTCACGTTAGGTCTATATTAGTTGCTAAAACTAAGTCCGATGTGAAATGAAAGCCTTTGAGCAATGTTTAGTGCTCCAAACTTTGTTGGGTTAAACGTGTGTCACAGCGTCACGAGCAATGTCACAGTGTCACGATCATAAAACACAATTATTGAGGGATGGAAAACTTACTGGAAAGACCTTTTTAGCAATGAGGAGCTCGTTTACTCCTCTACAAATTTTGCTCGAGGCGCTTTTTATTAGCTCTTCTAAATTCAGATTAGCTTTTAATGAGAAGAACTTCGAATTTAGGGCCGTTTTCTTCTCACAGCATCACGCTCCGAAAAACGGTTCTAAAAATTCGAGTCTTTAACCACATACCTTCATTTTTATACCAACAGTAGAGTATGGCGAGATGCGTCGAATGGCGCAAGAACGAAGTTTCTCGCTCTTAAACTTTTTGAGAAAAGCTCAAATTACTATCTCAAAACTATCACAGCGTCACGCTTGGACAAGAAAGGCTGTCATCTTCTTTTCTAAGTATTAACAACAAGGTCGGAAAGATTTTATTCGACAAAACTGTTATCCTCTTTTTCTTCTTCTGGTATGAGCGGCTGCTTCAGTTACAAATGATCCAGCTGCGTTCAACATTGCTACGAAAATATTTTATGAATAACTGAATATGACACGTAGATATCCTAAAAGCTAGGAAAACATATGACCCATTTAAAATATCTGTAACAGCTTGTACAGCTCAGTTTGAACTGTTCCGATAACATGTTCGCAAGTTTCTCTAGTGCCACTTCTACATGTACCACTGGATAAATGGGCACCAGACAAGACAAGTTCAACACTTTACCATAAGAGAGGCAACTATACACTATTACCACAAAATACAGAATAGCGCGATGAACTCGAAATCGCTACATTCTGTTTTCATCCCGAAATGTTGCTTAAACAGACGTAAGAATATCTGCCCTCTAGTAAAACGGTGTTTGTACTACCCTGTGTTATTTCGCTAAATATCAAATACAGTGACATATAACTCACATCGCCAAATAGCTAACACACACGCACATTCAAACATTCTGATGCCGCTAAATAATCTTTAACTGTTGTTTGTGTTTTATGTCAGCAATTTATTTTGTATAATTAATGCGTTTTAATCAAGGGGGAAACAGCTGATTTTGGGACTTTTCCGATTTTCGTCGATTTCCACTGATTTTCACCGATTTTCATTGATTTTTTCCGGTGTCCTGTGATTTGTTTGCGAAATCAAGTAAAGAAAGTGCGATAAATAGTGCAGAACCTCCTTCATTTGTACAAAATAGTATACACAAAATAAAAACGTGTTTTTGACTTTAATTTCGAGTGCACCGTGTAGAGGATACTTAATTGTATATTTACCCAACCAAACCGGATCTTAGCTGCCACATTTACTAATTTACGAAGCGAAGAATAAACATCTGTACTTGAAGCAAAAAAACTGACAACGTGCCATCTCAGAATATACTTTGGCTCCTCTTTTGCGAGCTACACATCTATTGACATTACAAAGTACAGGTTCTGAAAGCTGAAACGTTTGGCTACAACTTTTCAATTAAAAGATTTTCTACAAGAGGTCTCAGTTCAAAACTTAAAGGACTGTCTTCAACCATCAAAAAAAATTCCATTTTGTGTCATTCTATTACGCCGTCTATTATTCACTATAACTTCTGTTGAAACGTAATGGGCTCAAATTCTTTTCTGTAATACACCGCTTTAAGACACATTTAAAAAACAATTAAGAAAACAATTATTTGATATGTCAAGTAAGTGAATATTTTTATTATATATTACATATACAGAAGAGTAGAAAACTTGTCAAAATTGGTCGAGGGTCTCTGAAGGGATAATGCCCCGTTTCT